TACACTTCGCCTCCCGGCTCGCCTTCAGCTTGATATCTTCATATGCCATGAAGGCCGAAATATTACTGGCGTACGAAAATATCACATCGGTGTGATATCTTCGTATGTCATGCATTCCTCGGCATTCCTGGCCTACGAAGATATCCAACCAAAAGCAAGCCGTGCGCCTAAACTGCTGCAGCGGACGATCCTGCCCAACCCCCACCGCCGCCATGACGTTGGCAGCTATGACCAACGCACCGAACACCAACACGGCCACACAACGTGGCAGCGATATCTCCCGCACGCCTCTGCACGTATTGTACGGCATACCTGCGCTATCCTGCGTACTTGTGCGGCGAACGTCAACGTCCAAGCAGTCGTATGCAGCGTACACCACATGGTCACTATCGTCTGCGAAGTACTCGTCATAGTTCGGTAACTGCTGCATGACAGCGACGACTTCTTCGGCACCGCCAGCTTCTCACACAATACTCATCGTGTGGTGTACACTGCTTACAAGATTGCCGCACTCAACACCATCCACTGCCTGGTGTACTCACGCGTCATGACGACAACGATGCTCCCCTTCGTGCATCCCTTGCACTTGTGAGTTCGACTCCCACACGGGTGTAGTACACGCACGGACCGTCGTACTCCTGCCGCCCAGCCGGGGGACTACGGCCCCCTCGCGGGCGACGCAGCCCGCGTCTAGTCTGTCTGTCTGTCTGTCCGGGTGGCCGCTTGGTAAGTTGCCGTTTTTCGCCTTTTTGTCCGCGGTTTCGGAGCCGCGCCTTTTAGGCTAGCTCCGTCGCCGCGTGGGAGCCGCGGTCGCTGGTTCGCGCCCCGCCGTCGCCGCTTTTTTTCGTTTTTTCGCACCGCACCGCACCGCGCCGCACCACACCGCATCGCACCGCACCAAACCTGAGGCCGCGCAATGCGCTCCGGAACATCGCCGTGCACCGCTTCGTGGTGCGCGCTAGCTCTATCGCTGTGTGGGAGCCGTAGTCGCCGGCTCGATCCCGGCACCCGCGCGTCTTTCTTTTGTTTTTTTCGTTCGGGAGCGCTAGCTTCGTCGCCGCGGGAGTCCAGCTCGCCGGTCGCTTCCCGTCGTCGTCGCTTTTTTTTTCTTTTCGTTATGCAGCGCACCGCACCGCACTGCACCGCACTGCGCAATTTGACATGCGTCGACTCGCGCGTTTTAACGGGCAACCCACCACACGACTCGACATGCAATTAAACGTGCAATTCAACGCGCAATTCAATGCGCACCGAAGCATGCAATTGAACGCGCAATTCGATGCGCAATTCGATGCACAATTCAACGCGCAATTAAACACGCACCGAACCGCACAATTAAATGCACAAATCGATGCGCGGTTCAACGCACAATTCAGTGATGGACGAGGAGTGCGCCGAAGTGTGCATCTGCGGTTGTCCAACGTTGTCCGTGTAAACTGTACGGCCTTTTGTGAAATGAACTTGTCCACGGCCGTCAGCTCGCTACATTAGGATTGCATCGCAGACATACACTTTTACTTTATTTCTCTTCATGTACGGTACTACGGCTCAGAACTGAATCACACGAAAGTCGGCGGCCATAAACTAGTCGGTGGCACCGCCAACGTAAGTTGACGGCCTTTTGCGAAGCTGGGCTCTTTGCAGGAGTCGGTTCGCTACTGTAGGATTGTATTGCATATATATCGCACCCGGATTACTTATCTCCACACGCGGTATTGCGACCGGAAACAGCTTCTGTCAGTTATGGTGGACCGACGGAATGATTCACCCCAGCGGACTGGGACACGCAGTCATGAGCGCCTGGGTACACTGGGCGGCGGGTTTCGTTTTAGAGGGACAAGAGCGTCGAACACGCACCTCAGCGTAGATGCAGCCCGGATGCGGGATGCTCATCTGGATCCGGGGCGCAGGGCTGCAGAACAACACCGGGACACGGCTGCACGAGCTGCTGCCCATCAAGACCCGGACTACAGGGCTGCGGAGCAGCAACAGAACATCACTGCACAAGCTGCTGCCCGTCAAAACCCGGCTCGGCGGCACCGTATTCATGCTGCAGAAACAGCAGCAGCAAGACAACAGCCCATCTGGCCAGCAGCTTACCCGCTTCACAACCATGTTCGGCGGCATTCAACCCACTGAAGCACGTGTTGCAGATCTAGTAGACGCACTCAACCAACGCGTCATCACGGATTTGTCCGATCTCACAGACCTCGAACCCCGTGTCGTGCTGCAACGGAACGAACCCAGGCACGCGCTCAACACACGCCTCCTGATGCTCCAGGCACGCCGCAAAGGAGCGCGTTTGGTCAGCTGGAACGCGGACCACGTCCCGGTTAGGCAACATGGTGCAACCCAACAACAGCCACTCTCCCACGTCGAAAAGGCTGTCGCAATGCGAGTAAAAGACGCCACCTTCGACCACACCACCGCCGACACTTGGTACTACGAGGGTGCACGCTACACCCTACTCGACACCACTGCTGCCGACACCGGCGCGTGCCACAACAATGAAGTCGAGGCGTGTGGCCTGCTTACCGACAGCCGTGAACCGCCCGACGACGGCCGCGGCCCGTACTGGCGCCTCCACTACCTACCTGCAGCTGTCTTGGTCCGTCCCATTAAAGGGCACGCGCCCAAAGCGATACTAGCAGACTTAGCGGACTTCGCAACCAAAGGTGCTGCCTTCGCCATCGTACCACGGCCCTCACCGGCAGCAAACATCACCGTGCCAGCCGCCAACACCGGCACCACCACCAAAAATGTACGTCGAGTCAATGTACCACTTGGTGACTACTACGCCGTCACCGACTACTTCGTACAGGGCCGTAGCTTCAAGGAAGAATGCTGGGTCGCGGACCTTTCCGTCCCGCCCGGTGGCCTCAAGCATGCAACCATGTATGTGTTGCTCACCCGCTACAAGACACTCGACCACATCCGCCTCCTCCGCCCGCTCTCTACCACACCCGACGAACGAACACGAGTCGTCAAACAGTTCATGGCAGCAACCAAGCTGGACCCCGACCTGGCGGCCGAACTCCGCCTCCTCGATCGCCGTGCAACCGAAACCCGTGAACGCTATACGACCGAGTACAAACACGCCAGAAACCTAGAGGAACGTTGGACCTCCGCAGCCAACACTACCTGACACGTCCAACAGTTCGTCTGCCTCGCCACTGGATGGCGTTAAATGCCAGCGTTGCACGGCTCTCTAGCCGTCCGACGACACGCCCGCGCGGCTGGGTGCATCCCTTGCACTTCTGGGTTCGACTCCCACACGGGTGTAGTAGTATACGCACGGACCGTCGTACTCGTGCCGCCCAGCCGGGGGACTACGGCCCCCTCGCGGGCGAAGCAGCCCGCGTCTAGTTGGGGTGTCGTTCGCGGTTTCGGAGCCGCAGCTTTTAGGCTAGCTCCGTCGCCGCTTGGGAGCCGCGGTCGCCGGTTCGCGCCCCGTCGTCGTCGCCGCTTTTTGCGGTTTTGTTGTTTCGTTCGGCGCAGCGCGCCGCACCGGACTACTATGGATGGCACCGCACCGCGCCAAACCTGGGCCCGCGCAACGCGCTCCCGAGCATGGCCGTTCTAGCTTTGTCGGGCGCGCTAGGTCCGACGTTGAGTGGGAGCCGCGGGCGCCGGTTCGACCCCGGCGCCGGCGCGTCCTTGGGTCCTTTTTGCGTTGCGGCTCGCTAGCTTTGATGCATGTTTTTTTCGTCTATTTTCTTCTATTTTGACATATATTTTCGGACCGTTTTCTTCTATTCTTATATATATTTTCGGACCGTGCACAGTGCAATGCGCGCCGCACCGTGTTAACGTCATTCGACACGCCCACCGCACCGCACCGCGCCCGTGACAGATCCTCTTGCATATACACCAATTTACTGACGCGAAATCTCAGCTATCCGCGCCTTTGTCAGCATCCATCTCTGCTTCGGTCTCGCTGGACGCGGCCGCGATCACACGAATTGCCAGCAATCCGCATCATTGCCTAAGCACGTCTGTCTTTCCTATATAAATGTACTCATGTTTCGAATTCGTTCAAGGCCACCGCAATCACGCGAGTTGCCAGCTGGACCAGCCTCACAGCCGCGGTGCATGCGCGTCCAATGTCCGCGTCTGCCGATTTCTGCTTCGGACGGATTTCGCTGGGTGCGGCCGCGATCACACGAATTGGCAGCAATCCGCATCATCGCCTAAGCACGTATGTCTTTGCTATATAAATGTACTCCTGTTTCGAACTCGTCGAAGGCCGCCGCAATGATGCGGGTTGGCAGCTACACCGGTCTCGCAGCCGCGGTGCATGCGCGTCCAATGTCTGCGTCTGCCGATCCTCGGACATCTGTCATCTATATGACACGCCGCCGCGGTTTGTATAATTGTTAGCGCGCCGATTCCTCCCCACTTATCCTGCACTCTTCAGACGCACCTCTTTGCAAGCCTTCCTATTCCAAGTGTCTCCACCGCTTACCTGTTTAGTACCAGCAGCGATATGGATTCGCCGGACGCCAAGCGGCAACGCCTGGACTCTAGCACGTCCTACAATCTGCGATGCCGCACCCTGGTCACCACCAGGTCGGTTTGCGCTGGTATAATGCGTAAATATGTTGCTCGTATCCCTTGCATTGCCTTGTTTCGTGTTCTCCGTTGTTGCATCCCCTGCTTTGTGTTATGTGTTATGCGAAACTTATCCGATCCCGTCTTGTGACTTTCTGAACTTTAACTTCCGCAGTAGTATCGACCCACCTGACGCCAAGCGTCAGAAACTGGACACTGCTGCGTCGCAGAGCAGCACATCGACGGTCGGCCCCCCCGTCGCCGCCACGTAAGCGAGCTGCTACGCGCATAGAGCGTGTTGACACCAGTAAGGTACTTCCCGACTTTGACCCGACTTTGTGCCTCCACCTCTGACGGTGCGAAATATACGCATCTATCATATTTGGCCGCTGTCTCTTAAGCACAGATGTCTTCCGTCACGTTCATCACCGCTCGCATGTACCTTAAATACCGTGTACCGCTCCCCATTTGACGCCTGTTTGCAACACGTAGGGATTCAAGGAGCGTCACCTTTCATGTGACGTTTACGGCCGGCCCCACGGAAACCAATGAGGACCGGCTGTTTGCCGGCGCCCAGAGCCGCTACGGCAGCTTCATCGCGGGCGTGAATACCGCCGGCCAGGGGATAGTAATCATGCAGATTGACGATGTCATCCTCGGCAGGCTGGAGAGCAGCCACGCGTTCGGCCACCGCGTCACGTTCATCAACGTGGATTCAGCTTCCCTGCTGCCTTACATCACTTCTCGGTTCGCTGGGGTGACGGTGGGGCAGTTTAAAGTCTCCTCGGCGACGCGGATTTCCGTGGAGCCCTCCTCCGCTGTCCCACTGCTCTACAGCGCCAGGCTTCGGTTCCCCGCTTACGATGTCGACAGCGACAGGGCCCGCCCCGAAGACAAGCACATCTCAGATGGCAGCGCCCTCCTGCTCATCCCGCACGGCGGGATGTTCCGGGGCGGGCCGTTCCGCAAGTTTAAGGCGTGGGTTGCGTGCGGCAACGGTGACAGTCCCGATGCCGGACGTGTGGAGCTCGCCATCAGGGAGTCCGCTCCCGACGACTTCATTGCTCAGCTACAAGCAGCGGCCGACAGCAGCACGCCCCTTTACATGTATGGTGCCAGGATCAGCCCCTCCTCTAACAAAGCTTATATGAATAGCGTCTTCCTCAGCGGCTCGCTCGTAGCAGCAGCAAGTGCCCCCGGCAAACGCCCTCCCAAGCGAGTGCACACCTTCCAGGCGGCTGTTCAGCGAACTACCGCGGCCATCGTGCCCGCCGACACAAGTGATATGGTATTGGCTTGGGAGCAGCGTAGCCGCAGTGCCCTTGTTTTACCGTCGGACGGTCCACACGCCTCGGCCACCCTGTCACCCAACCCCACTTCTGTCACTGTAGTCGGCTCACTGCCGGTCCTCCCGCTCGTCCTCACGGTCGGCAGCCGCAGTTATCCGGTATGCACCGACAGCATCGCCGTCATGCAACAGTTACCGAACTACGACGAGTTCTTCGGCAGCGCCAGCTTCGCAGACGATAATGATCGTATGGCGTATGCTGCTTACGACTCATTCACCATCACCGGTACCATCACCACCAAGACAGAAGGTCGAACTATGTTTATCACAGCTCTGCAGGAATGACTCGTTCTTGCGTGTTCATCCACTTGCGCTGCCGTCCACTACACGTCGTCCAGGTTCGCTATGCCTTGCACCTGTCCCCTCCCTTCACTTCCATCTAGCCGCCCCTGGATGGCATTAAATGCCAGCGTTGAGCGGCTGTCTAGCCGCGCAACGACACACTTGCAGGGCTGGGTGCATTCTGTGCACTTGTGGGTTCGACTCCCACACAAGTTGGCGGCGTCCCTCGCACCTACGCTGGTGAGTATATGAATGGTATAACCGGTTTCGCTGGTATAAGTTAGGGTTTTCAGGCACGAATGCTGTACCGTGTTGACATTCGTACGTGTCTCATTCCTATCCGCCTCTCGCCGCTTCCCCGCTCTCCCTGCAGCATGCTCTGCTGTGCGCATGCCACTCGTGTACATGATGGTTGGACATAACGAATTGGACATAACGACTTCTGGGCTTGTCTCCGCGCGACCTTCACACTGTCGTGCAGGTTCGCATGCGTTGAAGCTGCTGCTCCGGCAAGCCTTCGTGCTGTTCTCTTCGGTGGCTTCCAGTAGGCGCGGTAAGTGTGCGTTATGATGCAACACACGTGTACGTGTGTCGGCACATTACCACTTGTCCGTCGCAGCACACCGTGTCGGCAAGTGTACGACATACATTGTTTTGCATTAACTCGTTCTGTGCCGGTTCTCTTTTTTATGTACATACGTCCTTTACTGCGACATAGCGACTCATCGTTGTGAGTTGCGGTAGTGTTTCCGGAAAACAGTGCCGCATCACCGTTGCCTTGTATTGCAGGTTTGCGTGCGTTACGGCCACTACTCCGGACACTGCCCATGCTACTTTTGATACTACTTTTGAGACATCTTCGGTAGGCACAGTAAGTGTACGGCCAGGCCGCGTCTATGTGCGTTCGCACCGTAGTGCACGATGTCCGCGGTGTCACGTCGTGTTAAGATGTGTACGGCAACTTTGCTGTCGTTTCTTCTTGTGCACGCGCAAACTATTTTATGTCAGTTCTCCTTGTACATCCTTTGCGTTGCTATTTATGAGATGTACATATATTGCATGCCTATGCAAGTGGTACGCGGCCGCGATAATTAGTCTGTATTACCGGTGTTCATCTTGCTGTTTATTATTTATCTTATTTACTATTCCGACATAGCGAGTTGTCGCAATATCCGGCCCTGCTTCCGCACTACCGTGACGCATCGCCGCTGCAATGCATTGCAGATTTGCGTGCGTCGTGGTTCCTGTTGCCGGACATTTCCATACCAAGCATTTCCTGCAAGGTCTCCATCGCGCGCGGTAAGTGTGCGACGAGTTGGCGTCCATATGTGTCAGCGCATCAAATGTGGTGCAGTACGATGCACTGCCCGCGTAGTCTTACGTCTAAATTATAAATACACGGCACCCTGTCACTCCGTGTTGCCTGTATGATTGCACCCACGCTATTCCGTCTGACCGTCTGACTGTCCGTCATTCCTTCCGGGTTGCCGCTGCCGTGTGTCAGCTTTCTCCTGCGCTAACACATACGGGGCCCCATCCGTCAATCTTACCGCTCGTCCGTCCGTTCGAAATGCCTATTGCCTGAAGCGGCTCTGGCGTATATGGCAGGTACATATGTGATCACCTTAGCGTGCCTTCAGGCCTCTTCGTAAGGACATCATAATGATGCTTCGACACCCTTCGGCAGCTCTTCACTGCCACTCTCTATTTCCACACGGCGGTCGTGTATCCGGTGTTGGCAGCTGTGATACCCCACGTACGCTGCTATGGTGCGATTTGTACCAATTCCGGTACCACTGCCTTCCCCGTTTCCGGCCGTTTGTGTATTGTATATATCCCGTTCCTTTCTAACATGTTGTCACCGCTGTCCACCCATGGCAGCTCATGCGGTATAGGATCTGCTTGCTCGACAACGAGGGCCCTAATAACACACGGACGCCACGTACGAGCACCACTGGATACAACTGGAGCCACATTTCAACCGCCACAGCAGTACGTCGCCACGACGGATGTCGTGCCGATACACCGTCCTGTCGCCTATGCGGCGGTGCTGGCTGCTGCCGATCGCGCGACCATGCAGGCACCACGGCTTCTGCCATTCACCATACACTCGGCAGGTATGTTCCCGGACCGTACTAGTATCCGCACCCATGTCACTCCGTGTTGCCCGTATGATTGCACCTGCGCTATTCCGTCTGACCGTCTGACTGTCTAACCTCCCTTCCGGATTGCCGCTGCCGTGTGTCTGCAGTCCCCTGCACTAACACACGTATCCAGCCGTTTGTGTATTGTATATATCCCGTTCCTTTCTAACATGTTGTCGCTGCTGTCCACCCATGGCAGGTCATGCGGTATAGGCCCCGCTTGGTCGACAATGAGGGCCCTAGTAACAGATGGACGCGAATTACGAGCGCCACAGCAGCACGTCGCCACGACGGATGTCGTGCCAGTACACCGTCCTGTCGCCTATGCGGCGGTGCTGGCTGCTGCCGATCACGCGACCATGCAGGCACCACGGCTTCTGCCATTCACCATGCACTCGACAGGTATGTTCCCGGTCCAACCTCCGGCCCCTCTCGGTCCTCCTTCGCCTACGTTATCGTGACCGTACTAATACGAGCCCCCATGTCACTCAGTGCACACGTTCGTGCTCCGTGCGCTCTTTAATGCACCATCATTTCTGCCCTGACATACGCCGACGCATAACTTCCTCTCTTATGTTCTGCCCCGTCACTGTCTTCGTCTCGAACCACGACCCTCGAAATTCTAGGACCGGCACAAGGTCTACAGTCTCCGACGCTGCTGCAGGCGATTCTACGATTTCGTTGGTCGGGGTTCGACACGATGACAGGGCATAACAGGTTATGCATCGGCGCATGTCATGGCATACACCGGCAAGCCTACATACACTTTGCAATCGTACATAACAATGCCTACGTGGTAGACCAACAGCGGTGTCGTCACATAGCTATTTAACCGCTGAGCCGGTGGTGTTATTATGGCACGCTAATGGTGCATGCAAAACTCCCCCCCCGACACCACACACACTCACACGGCCACACGCACCTGCTGCTGGCTGCTATGCGGTCCTTCTGAATCCAAGTCATACCTGGTCAGTAACCCGGTAAGACGCGGATCCGCAAGGTGTGGACCCACATCTTACCTGGTTACTGACCCGGTATGACTTTGATCCACAACGACTGGACAGCAGGGCGGTGTGGTGTAGCCCGGTGTACTACTGTGTGTGTACATATGACGTGCTGCATCGCTACCGTACCATGATAACACCACTGCCTCGCCGGACAGCACGACTGTCCCTGCTCCGTGCGCCTTTGACTGCACTACTTTGCTTACTTGTTGAGGCGGTGGTAACTGCGCTGTTGCCGCCTCGACTTGGAGGCGGCTTCCAACTGGAGATGAAGGAGCGGCGGCCAGACTCCCGGTCATGGCGGCTGGGCGGTACACAGCACCTATTGCTGCCACGTTGCTTGGCCGTGTTGGTGTTCGGCGTGTTGGTCGTGAGCATCGTTGCCAACGTCATGGCGGCGGTGGCGGCTGGGCAAGATTGTCCGCTGTAGCACTTCGCCTCCACGGCTCGCCTTCAGCTTGATATCTTCGTATGCCATGAAGGCCGAAATATTACTGGCGTACGAAAATATCACATCGGTGTGATATCTTCGTATGTCATGCATTCCTCGGCATTCCTGGCCTACGAAGATATCCAACCAAAAGCAAGCCGTGCGCCTAAACTGCTGCAGCGGACGATCCTGCCCAACCCCCACCGCCGCCATGACGTTGGCAGTTATGACCAACGCACCGAACACCAACACGGCCACACAACGTGGCAGCGATATCTCCCCCACGCCTCTGCACGTATTGTACGGCATACCTGCGCTACCCTGCGTACTTGTGCGGCAAACGTCAACGTCTAAGCAGTCGTATGCAGCGTACACCACATGGTCACTATCGTCTGCGAAGTACTCGTCATAGTTCGGTAACTGCTGCATGACAGCGACGACTTCTTCGGCACCGCCACCTTCTCACACAATACTCATCTGTCTGTGTCTGTCTGTCTGTCTGTCTCTGTCTGTCTTTTTCTTTCTTCCTTTCTTTCTTTCTTTCTTTCTTTCTTTATTAATTTATTTATTTATTTATTGTGTCGTGTACACTGCTTACAAGATTGCCGCAGTCAACACCATCCACTGGCTGGTGTACTCACGCGTCATGACGACGACGCTGCTCCCCTTCGTGCATCCCTTGCACTTGTGGGTTCGACTCCCACACGTCTGTAGTACACGCACGGACCGTCGTACTCGTGCCGCCCAGCCGGGGGACTACGGCCCCCTCGCGGGCGACGCAGCCCGCGTCTAGTCCGTTAGCGCGCCCCCTCTTCACAACCAGAGGTCGCGGGTTCGAAACGCGAGGACGCGAGGACGACAGGTCGCGGGTTCAAATCACGGGTCGCACGCGAGTTGCACGCGAGGATGCGAGGACGCGAGGACACCAGGACGTGAGGACGCGAGGATGCAAGGGCACATGGACGCGTGAGCGTGTGGGCACGTGGGCACATGGGACCGTGGCACCGTGGATGTAGCCACACGTGGATGTAGCATGGACGCGTGGACGCGGGACATGAGGATGTAACATGGGCGTGTGCATGAAGCGTGGACGCGTGCATGTGAACCTTGAACATGTGGGCGGGGACACACGGATACTGGGCCATCAGGCCATGGGGACGACTGGGTGCGGTGGTGGGTAACGAACAACAGACGCGCGTAGTTGTGTTGTTCGACTTGAACTTGCAAGGTTAAACGTTTATCACAAAATATTAGGATAACCAGGTACGCCTGGGCGTGGCTGTGGGTATATCCATGTAGTTCCACTGTGGGACAGGACTTGCAGTGGAAAACTAGACTACAATGGCTCCGCCACGAAATGACGTGAAGTCGCGCACACCGCAACATTCCCCGGGATAAATACAGTCGCAGAAATTCTATAGAATCATACGGATTCAGAATACATTCTATCAACCAGCGATGCTGTGCAGCACAGTTATTGTATAGAAGTAATGTGTGCCATTGGCCCTCGAGTGCATTTATCAATTTTGTCAAACGGATCCAGGATAAATTTATCATACGGATTCAGGAAAAAATTCTACAAAACAGCGGTGCTGCGCAACATACATCCATATTGTATCAATGTACTGTGTTCCATTGGCCCTCAACTGCATTCCTTGAGGATAGGAGGATAACCTGTCGCGACATCAGTCTGACCGGCCATTTCTATGGACAATTCTGCTTCCGGTAAGGAGTCCTGGTTGAGACTGATGCCCGTGATGTTGCTCCATCTCCTGCATGGGCTGTAGACTAGTAATCCTCTTCCTGACATCATGCAGGACGTCGGCGGTTAGGTACAGTTGCAGGTGGAGGCTCGTGGCTTCTGAGCTTGACAGGCCGGACTCAAGCCACACCTTCCCCCCCGACACCCCAGCTGTCCAGTGCGGATGCAACCAGAAAGGTGCAGGCGCGAGCCAACCGGCGGCGGCGGATCGAGCAGCAGCTGCAGCGTGATGGGCAGATGCACGAGCCAACCGGACACCTGAGCAAGTGGCGGCGGACCGAGCAGCAGCTACTGCTCGGTGGGCGTGGTGGTCGGAGGCGCGAGCCAACCGAACGCCTGAGCAAGTGGCCACGCATCGAGCAGCACATGCAGCTCGGGTAGCAGAGGTGCGAGCCAACCGAACACCTGAGCAAGTGGCGGCAGACCAAACAGTGGACGCAGCTCGAAAGCATCAAGCCCGTGTGATTCGGCAACAGTCATCTGAGGAGCACACACCACAACACACCCACCGCAGCAGGGGTAGCCTTGTGGAGGCAGTTTTGGATGCTGCCTTCTGGGTGTTCAGGCGGCCGACAAACCCCACCAAGCCTCGTATGGGTGCCTGGTTAGACAGCAGTACAGCTTCATGGCCAGAACATGTGCAAGATGTTCCTGCGGGTCAGCCTCTGCCCACTGTAATTCCCTTAACAGCTTCTGTTAGGGTTTAAGGTTTAGGGTTTAGGGTACAGATCCGAGTCGCCGAACAGCTTGATGCCACTGTCAAAAACAACATGCCATCCTGTGTCTGCACCTGCTGCAGCGAGATGAAGTCCGCGGTACAGGCACACGGCTACCGGTTTGGTGACATCCCCAACGTGCACCAGTTGCGTGCAGATGTTTGGAGAACGCTGGCAGTGGCGCGTCCAGCTCAAGTCGTCGCATGGCTACCAGTGACAGCCGCCAGAGCCCCACCACCACCCGAGCCAGCTTTGCCGTGGGGCTTCCGAAAGATGTGGCTCAATGGGCATTCTACGGAGAAGACGGGGCTCACCAAGCGTCCTGGTACGACAGGGGACTCTGGTGGTTCGGATGACCAAGAGCACCGCCAGCCCACCCAGCAGCACAGTTCGTTGCAACAGGCGCGGGACCATTTGGCAACACTGGAGCATATGGCTCTTCCCGGAAGACTTTCCACCGCATGAGGCGGGCCCATCTAGTCTGCCACAGTGATGTCGGCGTGAGACAGATGGTGTTGACGACAAGCAGGAGTCTATTCTTTCCGATGAAGAAGCAGGAGTGGATGCGACACGGCCACAAGACGTGGACGGCCAGCATGAGGAATGGATGCTCCCTTAAGCTTCGTGGCCGCCACGACCTGGCATGGAGCCACGGCCGGATCCCACTGCTCCGGGTGTGTGGCTAGTGCCGTACTGCATGCGTGTGGAGCGCTCTGGGGAGAATTGTACGGTGCACACCAACGGGGCTGGCGACGACATCATCATGATGTGCAACGACTGCATTCATGCCTTGGAATGTAAGCACTAAACACTAACATGAGAATTTGCATGCAGTGCTTTCGTTGCGGATCATGTGTGCTGGGTGTTCATGCATGCACGCACACAACCGCACTGGTTATTCTGACTGGTCTGCCCTGCCTGTGGCTGCTGCCTCCGCATCCAGGCGGACGCATCCCGGAGGCTGCTCTCGCACGCTATGATGGTGGAGACGTGCCAGAAATCAATCAGGACGGGCAGCGTCTGGAGTGGCCTACCGTGCTGGAAGCCAACATACTGGGGCTGGGCCATGTGCAGCAGCAGATCTACAGGCTCAAGGTCAAGAACCGGCCGTCTGACTTGCAGCCCATCACCGTCACAATGCACGGGATAGCTGTGGCGAACCCATCACTCGATCAGTGGGTGGACGCCATCCCACGCTCTGCTGCATCGTTGCCGGAGAACATCACCGTCTGAACAGAGTGAAGAGCTGCCAGCAAGACATCGATGCAGTGGGTGCCATCCCGCGAGAGGCTGTCAAAGCGATGGTGGACATCCTGGCCTTGCCGAAGATGCACCCGGATCGTCGCCGCTTGCTCCAAGACATGTCACCTCTCGTGCACGCCCTCGTCACCTCTCTTCGGTGAACGGTCGCACGCATCGACATGACAGATGCCTATTACTGCAACATGCACGCCAATCTACGTGGTGTAGCCGCCGCAACCGGGCTGCCACTCCTCATGTTTAACGTCAACCCCGCCGACTTGCACAGTGCGGCTGCAGTCGTGGCCGCTGGGCAATTTTTGGAATTTGGTGAGGATGGTGCTCCATTGCGGGAGGAGCGTGTCATGGACAAGTGGCGGCGGGTGCAAAACAACCCCTACACCAGCCAAGCACTCCTCAACGCGGTTAAGCTCGCCTTCATGGACATCCTTTTTGGTTTCAAACCTGGCGACAAGCGGCAGAGCAACCCCGACTGCTTCTGTGGCACCGTGTTCCACATCTGCATCAAGGTGGAGCAGAGTGGACGCCTCGCCCTGCACTTGCACGGCATGGTGCACCTGGCAGCGATACCGTGGACAAAATGCGGGCCCTGTTTGAGGGGCCCAACTGCCGCACTCTGGCGCTGGCACACGCCCTCTGCAGCATGTGGCTGCCTGAGCCGTACTACGACATTCAGGACAAAGAGCGACGAGTCTTCTGGCAGACACCCCTGGTCACGGCTGCACCCACCACACCAATGGCAGTTGCACCGACGCCCATGGAAACATCAACGGCAGCAACGAATTCTGGTGATGACAGCATGACAGATGCTACTGCAGAAGAGGATGACGGCCTGACTCAAGCAGAACCTGGCAGCGCCTCGGGCACAGATGAAGACATTGGCAATGGTGACAATGGAGTCCAGCCAGCCCCCCCCGCAGCGTCCGCTGGCCGCCCCCCAGCCATCCGCGCGCCTCAGCCAGATGGATCCATGCCGGCACCCGCGTATGACTTTGCCATTGTCGCCCGTGGCAAGCCGTGTGGGACCGGGGGTGAAGCCACTGATACCTTTACACCCAAAGTGTGCTTGGAACGCTGCACCCAGCACCTTGTGGCGGGTGTCGTGGGGTCCTGCACCCATAAACACACCGACACCTGCAAACGCTTCGGCTGTGCAGGCGTGGATGGAGACTGCGGCATGGCCTACCCACGCCACATCCGGTGTGAGTTCAAGTGGGTGGGCGACAGCGGCCTGTTCGTTCTGCCCCGATACGGCCCCAACATTGTGCCCCATTGCCCCGCTGTCACAATGGTGCTGGGCTGCAACAACGTCTTCACGCTGGCCTGCGAGCTCGACCGTCAGTACATCGCAACAGTGGAGGAACAGCTTGTACTGCCGGTCCCCATGTGTGACCCCGAGGTCCTGGAGGACATCCTTGTGCAAGCAGAGGTTGTGGCCCACCGAACCACGCACTATGCCACCAAGTATGTCGCCAAGGCCACGTCGCAGAGCCAAGTCACATGGCTGAACCGCATGATCATGATCAGCCGCCACTTCCTTGACACTGCAGCTGCTGGTGGTGGAGACCCCGCAGCCGCCCACGAGGACCGATGCAAGGGCATCGGAAACCTTATCTCCGCGGCGAACCGTACGACAGCCAGCCTGACCATCGGAATGGCCATGGCGTCCTTCAAGTTGGCAGGACACGATCGTGCCGAACATTTCACGAAACGTTCGAGACCACGTATGAGAACACATTCCTGAGCACAGGCCTGTTCATGGCCATTGTGCTCCGGGATGACCATGATAACATCAACAGCTTGGAAGCAGCAGCTGATACCCTACTGGTTTTTCACAATGACAATCCGGAGCAGCCGGGTGCTGCTGTGACGGCTCTGACTCACTACCGCCAACGTGGCTCAGAACTGGATGGAATCTAGTGCAGCCCGTTCATTCACCCCACTCGCCGACACCACGCCGGACGACATCACCTCCGCCTGCGAAGCCGTCAATGCGGCTTTCACGGCAGATCTGCATGTAAAGCTGCAGGGCACGGATCTGACCATTGCGAGCCTTGAGAACGTCCGCAAGATCGTTACCACGCGCTGAGACTGCGAACCTAGAAATGTTTGTGTTCTTTCACATCTGCGAATCAATTTGATGCTCAGGCTTCGAATTAAAGTTATCGCATGCCTGCTGTTGTGTGATTGTGCAACTTCTTACATGGCAGCCTGCGGTGAGGAACTGCCTCTCTTGCTGTTATGGGTCGTTGCTGTTGGATGCCGGATGTGAACCTCGAGAATGCCTTCTGCTACGACACTGCTGGCTGTGGCTTGCTACTAAGCCACCCTCCGTCACAGATGTAATGTAACTGAGTCCACGCCACTGCTTCCCCACATTAATACCGTTCTCACCTATGCACCACACAGCACCTTACCCACCACACACCCACAGCTGCCCTGGGAGTCGAAGCTACGGTCCCCTTCGCGGCGCAGCGCGGTACGCACGTCCTGTACGATTTGTACGTGTACGGTGTACGGTGTACGGCAAATGCTTGCCACGCGCGAAGCTGCATGTCTGTGTGGGTGTGGCGCAGTGGTTAGCGCGTAGGTCTCATAGCTGTTATCGTGCTGTGACTTGGACTATCCTAAGGTCGAGTGTTCGACACCCTCCACCCACAACCGCTCGTGTAGCTCAGTGGAAGAGCACCCGTTTAGTAAGCGGGAGGTCTGGAGATCAAAACTCGACATGAGCAGCACATCGCTCTTGCGCGGGACATATCCGCTCTGGCTTTTCCATAACATGATCCATCCTGGTGTGTACGTGTGCGTGTATGTATGTGTGTGTACGTGTACACGTTGGTGCATGTGTACATGGGGTATTTGGTCGTAGCTAGCCAGAACATGCATGCCGGGACAGCACAGCAGCAACACGAAGGCGGCAGCATGGAATTATTCATCCCTTGCTTGTGCCTGTTGCTGGTCCCTGCCGTTGGACACGTACTCGTAATGCACGAAATGCTGCAGTCAGCCATGTGTAGCCTTTTCTAGGCGTTTAGGGTTTCAAGGACCCTAAAAACCCTAGAAACACTAGCTATCACCGCAAAAAGCAGCTATTCAACGACTAGCATCGGTTGAGTAGATCGGTGAGGTTTTGGTTGTTGGCTGTGACCATGGATGGCACTCGTGCATGCAGGATCTGCATTTTCTGAGAGACACAGCGCGACGAACACTAC